GGTAGTAGCTCAAGAGGGACCAAAAGTCTTCCGACTCAGAGTTCATTCTCTAATAAATAGACAAAACATAGCATACATTTCAATGCTAAGTCAACAGGTATTATGTAAATATCAAATAGAAAGTTATCAAGAAATGGTTGCTTCCATTTCCCACCTACAGTTTAGGAAAAATAAGAGATCAATAATACTCTGTGGTGGTAGGACTGCAGGAAAATAACTTACAGATGAAAATTTCAATTGTTACAATTCTTCTAGGGCCAATTTCTGAACATATTCCAAAAGCCTTTCTAAAAAAAATACCATGATTCCTTGTCCTAGCAACTGCATTTCCAGGGAATATAGACCTGTGCTGTCCAATACAGTATCCACTAGCCACATGCGAGTATTGAGCACCCAAAATGTAGTTAGTCCAAATTTTGAGATGCACTGTAAATATAAAATACACTTTGGATTTCTAAGACTTAACATGAAAAAATGTACATAAAATAATTCATTTATATTTGTATACTGACTACATGTTAAAATTATAACAAATTTTTTTATATATTGGGTTCAATAAAATATTACAAAAATTAATTTTACCTCTTTTTACATTTTTTTAATATGGTTACTAGACAATTTAAAGTTACACATGTGGCTTGCATTATATTTCTACTGGACAGTGCTACTTTTAGACAAATTGCACAGATATGTATGTACGAGGATGTTTATCAAAGCATGCTTCATAAAAGTGAAAACCAGAATCAACCTAAGCATCCATCAACACAGATTGGTTAAACAAATTGCAGTAAATCTATAAAATGGAATATTCTGTAGCCACTGAAAATGCTGATGTACATCTAAATATACTGACATGAAGTGATATATTAAGTAGAAAAAATAAGCTTACAAAATAGTACATATTTATAAGATTCCATTTTGGTTTTTAAAAAGGGTGTGTGTGTGTGTGTGTGTGTGTGTGTGTGTGTAAGCACAGAAAAAGGTCTGAAAGGATATTCATCAAAATGACAAGTGTGATTACCTCTGGGCAGCAGGATTACATACAGGTAATCCTTATTTTCTTCTTTATGCTTTTATGTATTTCCTGAATTTCTGAAGTAAACATGACATAATTTTATAATTAGAACAGTAAAGCTATTTAAAAAAGTGATAGCCACCAGCTGAAACAAAAAGATCAATCTTACATCATCTTGGCTAGATGAAGTCCATGGTGATAAGGGTCCTTAATTCTATACAATGCTGCTCTTAGAGAAGCTTGCAAGTGCCTTCATCCCAAGCAATACTTAAATCTATTCCAAGTAATTAAGACTATTTCAGGGTTCTACAGATCATTTGTGAGAACTCTGCCATGAACCCATAAAGTGTTAATTGAAAGAAAACCGAAATAGATGTTCATGAATTTGTCACCTAAGGCAACTAAGTAATTAAAAAGGGGAGGAGTTTGCTGAGAATATTGGTTGCCAATAGGATAGAGAACCCGACGGTGGGGTTACAAGAGTGGAAAGGAGGGTTCTATATAGTTGTTTGTATCTTTTTTGAATTTTGAGCCATGTGAATATACTGCCTACTTAAAAATAAATAAAATTTAAAAACAAAACAGAAACATTATCAAGACTCTATGGTTGCCCATGACTTACTCAAAAACTGGTAAGCTATTCTTTATGGTATCTATTAGTACGGATGTCAAATAGCATTAAAATTTTTAGTCTATTCAATCAAAATAGTTGAGGGGTGCCAGGGGAAGGGCCAGAGAGAGATAAAAGGATGAGTAGGAACTATAGGTGGGAAGGTGAGGGGGAGCAAACAAAATGTAATTTATTAACAACGGAATTTGTTTTTACACTCTTAGGCAAGTAAAAAATTCCAACACTGCCTCTATATTTATATTACATTATACTATGTTCTTGGATTTTTTTGCTTATGGGAAATATCAAAATGTCAACCATTGTTTCTATTAAAGGTCTTTAATGATATTGCATTTTGGACCTGTAATGAAACATGGCGCTCACTGCCGTTTGTAATGCATCTCATTAAATACATTAATAACATGCATTTCACTAAAAGGTCAACTTATTATGGCTGAAGTTTGGCTTTCCTTTAATCACTTCATTTAAAGCTATAGAGCAAACTCTGTAAAAGATAGCAGAGAGTGTCTCTTATAGAAATGCTCCCTCAAGTCCTCCATCCATTCAAATCAGTTATACTTATTAAGAAAAGAGTTAATGTTCTTTGTGAAATAATGGTATTGTGATTTTTTAAAAAATCCTTTTCTTTTAGAAATACATGCTAATTTACTGATAAAATGATAGGATGTCTGATATTTGCTTCAAAATAATCCAGACGTGAGGGGAGAGTTAGTATAAATATAGATGAAATAAGACTGGCTGTGAGTTGATGATTACTTAGCTGGTAATGGTATATGAGATCACTGTACAATTCCCTCTACTTTATACAGGTTTGATATATTGCATAATGAAAAGTTTTTAATAACTCACGCTGAGTTTTCCTTAGATAACTTGCCCTCTTCCTTATATGTTGTTGCTACCAACATAAAAGACCTGCTTCGTAATACTGTAGAACTTCTTAAAAGAAAATCAGATGAAACACTAATCTCTTTGGAGAAATGGTTTTGTGCATAGAAAATCCCTTAATTTTGCTAAGGTTACTTCATGATTTACCACTTATGCTGCTACTAAAATATCAAAAACCGTCTCTGCAATGACTTCACAGTTCAAGAGTTAATTACCAACATGTAACATCAAGGTGACTGGGGACTAAGTGCGCGTGTGTGCTGTGGGAGGAAGGCATTGTTTGTTTAGTTTCTGAAAAGTAGAGTTTAGGGTACTGAAGGTACAAAGACCTGTTCAGAAATTTACTGTAGCTAAACCACGGCTGGAGTCTGCTGTTTTAGAGACTGTTGTCAGGACTATAAGGGTAAATGACAGTGCCAAGGACAGAATATATGAAGAGAACACGACCTGAGAACAGGATCCTAAATGCAATGAAACTGACCCCGGGAAGATAAAAGAAGAGTCTCAGATGAGAAGAAATCAGAAAGGCAGGGCCCAAACAGCGTACGCAGTGGCACCAAAGCCAAATATTTCCAGGAAAGGCTGAACGTTTCAGGGAGGCAATAGGCTGGGTTTGGAAATAAGGAAATCTCAGCTCTCCTTTCCATAGGCATAAGAGGCAGAAGCTGAATTACAAGTATTATCGTAGAATACAACAATATCCACTTTTCAGAACAAATGGTTAATTTAAATTATATCAGGAATATGAATACTCATAAAGAGTCAAAAAACACTGAAGTCAGCGGGGGTGGTAGTTACAACAATGACTATCATTTGCATAGCTGAACTTTGCCAAATGCCTCTTTCAGCAGGAAAAAGTTCTGCCCATACCTAACCTTTGCAGTGCGCTCTGTGCCAGACACTGTGCTAATGCTTCACATCACATCCTTTAATCCTCCTCGCAGCCTTATTATCAGCATTTCAGTGTGATGTTAGGTAACTTGCCCAAGGTCACAAAGATGGAATCTAAACCCAGGCAGTCTGACTTTAACTACTATAAACCAAGCAAACTGAAAAGAGATTTAGTTAAAGACAGGAAGTGCCAGTGTTTGTTTGAGGTCAACACAAATTCAGCCCGTGTTCCACACCAGCTCTATCGCACGCACAATATAAATTCTTCATCCAGAGTAATGTAGTCAAGAAATTTTTCTTAAACTCTGTTCACCAAGAGAGGGAGGTACATAACGTATTATGTCATACTGTCATCAGAAGGTTGAAAACAAACAAAAATTAACTACTTTTCAGATGTGCAGGAATTCTGGTTATTAGAAACTCCCCACCCTCTATCTTAGAATATGCGATACAAACAAACATTCCTTTCTTCGTCTCCCTCTTCCACCATAGCCAACGCTGTCAGACTAAGAGACATCTGTCACATTAACTGGGGTTCACCGATGAGGCAAAGAGGCAATTGGTTAAATACCAAAAAAAAAAAGAGAGAGAGAGACATTATAAAGAAGAGTAATAAGTAACACAAAAAAAAGGCCTTTAGCAAAACATTTCAGACATTTAATCTAGAGCAGTCCAGGTTTCATTCCAAGGCAAATCGGGAATTAGGGGCCTAGGGCATCAAAAATAGCAAAAGAAGAGCTCCAAAAATCTGAGAAATTTTGAAAACTGGCAATCTGTTATTTATTTAAGGGAGGAAAGGGGAAGTGCGGGGGGAGAGGATATAAAAGACCCACCCTCACAGTATCTGCAGGGTTCCTAAAGGAATTAACTGGGCCTTTCACACAGGAAACAGACTTCAAGTATGGCAGGACATACAATCTATAGACTGGACTTGAGGAAGTAATTCCTAGTTAAACCAGGTATTCCCCTACATGAAAGGTTCACAGAGTCCCTTTCCCTAGAAATCCTACACATTTATTTTAAATGATTTATGGTAATTCTCCCTAAAAGAAGATACCAAATTAGACATCCTCCTCAGGTCCCTTCCAACCCTGACTCCATAAGATAAAAGTTAGTTTTAAAGAGCAAATGAAAACACTAAGTCTCAGCAAATATATGAAGAACAGCGATTCCAACCACAGTGCACTAGCCCCATCTCCCTCTACCCCCATCTCCCTCTACCCAAGTCCTCTAGTGCCACAGGGCACACAGGCACGCAGCACACAGGAGGCAGTGTGATGCAGAAGGAAGACTCCGAGATTGAAAGACAGAAAAGCTGGAGTTTTCTCTCTGCCGTGCACGAACAAGCTCTGTAACTCTGGGCAACTCATTCTCTCTGGGCCACAGTTCTCTCATCTGTAAAATTTCTGAATTCCTTTTCTCTTCTAAAATTTTTGGCCTTCAAAGCTCAGCGATTCTAAAACTTTTTCCTCCTCCTGCAGTCATCATCTTTCCTTACCCTGTGTAACCCAAAGGAAGACATGAAGAAGATCATCGGGGGTGCTACAAAGTACCCCAATATGGCATAAGTATTCTTACTATTTTTTAGGGCGCTGGCAAATTCTGGGCCACCTTTGTCCTTGAAAATAGGGAAAACATCCGGTTGAGGAAGCTGATTGGTAGTCAACAGAGCTTTTTGTAGTTTGATCCTTCCTTCCAAGAGCTGGTCCCACAGTGCTGAGAAAGAAAAAAGAATTCCATTTCTCAGTTATACAATCTTCCTGGGGAGGGACGGGGGAAAGAGACAGGAAATCGTACCAGTCTCTAAGCAGCACAGCTTTATCACAGTTTCTTGCCGTGGAAACACTCATATTATAAGGAAAAAATTCAGTATCTTGGAAGCAAATATGTGCTACATGAGAGAATGCTAAAGCCCAAAGAGAGGAGAAAAGACTCTTCTCTTCAGTCTTGCACAGCTGCTGGAAGTACTAGAGCAGAACCAGCTAAGCAGCTCAGTGTAGAAATGGCTGGCTAAGCATAGAGGAACGGAGCTTTAGGCTTCTAGGTAAGTGGGGCATGTCGCAAACTAATTGGAAGGACACAGGAGAGAGCGAACAGCCCAAAACAAACAAACAAAAAGGACATGAAATGCAGACACTTTGAAAAATAAGCAAACAGTAAACCATGTTGTACAAACCTATCTGGTTCTTCACAGCTCTGCCTTTCTCTACTTCCTCGGAAACTCTGACACTGGAGAAGGTCATCACACCATCACCTTCACGGTTCCTGCCTTCAGCCCCGTCCTCCTCACTGGCACCCTCTAAGTCGTCTTCGCCATCCCCTTCCTCCACACCACTCTCCTCTTCCTCGTCTTCCTCATCACTGCTACCAAGGTCATCCATTCCCTCAGTAAATTTTTCAAAGTCACTGATGTGCTGGACACTGAAGCCAGGCGTTTTCCCAGAGCGGCTTCTGCTCCCCTTCCTCCTGTCCCCATCGTCCTCACACTCCTGCTCCTCAGCAGCACTCATGGCATCCTCATCAGATTCCTCCAGACCCAGCCCCTCTGAATCGCCATCTCCAGACTCTTCCTCATCAGATATTTCCTTATCTAAACAAGGGAGAAAAGAAGAAAAAAATGGTGTTACCATGAGGCAAATACCAGGCCATGTTTTTCATTTCATCTAAAGGACCATGGCAGTTATAAATTAAAAAAAAGTACATTGTCCTCAATTCAATAAATACTTATTACACATCTATTCTAAAATGCTAAGAGATAAGCAAAGCTGAATAAAACATAAATCCTATCCTAATGAAAGGCTCTAGTGGGAAAGACCCATAAAACTATAATACAGAAAAGACATAAAAAGTGCTTTGACAAAGTTTTGATACCCCAGAAAAGGGGAAAATTTTAACTGTGGGGCAAGTGAATTTAAGCAAAGTTATAAGGAAGAGATAGTCTTTGGTCTGGACCTTGAAGAATGGTCAGATTTCAACAGGTGTGAGGGAATTACCAATTTTCCCAAACTTGAATCTAAAAACTTATAGGTTATCATTAACTATCCCAAATGCATAATCTCTATCACACAAGTGTACATGATTTATTATACACTTATTAAGCACCTATTCTGAACCAGGCACAGAAAAATGCTAAGGAATGACAAATAGAATGTGATGCCTATGAGGAGGGCTTCATAGTCTGGTGGGAGTGGTAGATATGCATATCAATAATTATGTTACAATGTCAGTAGTACAGTATATAGAGAAGGAACCACTTAACTCTTCTGGAAAGGTGAGAGATGGCTTTATGTGTAGGAGGAGCCTTTATAATCTTAATAATTAACAGCTCATCACACAGAGAAAGGAGAAAGAAAAAACAGCACATGCAAAGGTCCAGCACCATGAAAATACACTGGAGTGCAGAATGGTAGGAGATTTGCCCAGAGACCAAATCAGGAGAGTCTTACCTTTAATGGGAAGGAGTTCGAACTTGATCCTACAGTAAATGGAATGTTAGTTACGGCTCCTGGTTTTACTTATCCTTAGGGTATCACCTGATTAGGGTTTTTACTGATTATCCTCTCTCTTCCATGGTAGAACATAAAGGTCCCATGTAAAGCAAACATAATTATTAGACACAGGGACCAGTTACCAACAACTTTCTTCAATAAAATGAAGGTAGTATGGAAATGTGAGAGGCCTTCGGTACTTCTTTAAAAACTATATATAAACTCAAGACACAGGGAAGTCTGTCAAAAATATAAATACAAAAGCTAAAGGCAAAGTTCTTTAAAGGTATGCCACTTCTCAGATTAAGAAACATTCCTACAGAGCAGTAATTAAGAGTACAGATCTTGGAGTCAGATTGCCTTATTTGAGTACAGGATCTTCCACTTACTACCTATATGACCTTGAGCAAGTTACTTAACCAATCTGTCCCTCAATTTCTTTATCTCTAAAATGGGAATAAATAGTACCAACCTCACAAGGCTATTGGGAGGATTAAATGAGATGATATATGTAATAATAATGGTGATAACAATTTTTGAGGACTTACTGTGTCCCAGGCTCTTAGACCTTAATTTAAAGGCTTACCACAGTGCCTGACACATGGTGAGAGCACAATAAATGTAATACTTGTCTCATACTGGTCTCTTTATGAGTCTCTAGGCAAAGAATGTGAAACAAGCTTATCAGGAACCCCCGAAATATATCAAAGACTAAATCATATGTATATCATAACATAAATGAAAGTTTCTTTTATATTACCTGTGGATTCTCAATCCAGCACCTCTGATTTCTCCAATGAAAAGCAAACTGACATCCACTCAATAATTACCATATCCAGCCCCTTCTTCCACTCTGCTTTAAAACTATAAACTCTAACATCTTCTAACACTCTTGCAGGGAAAGGAGAAGGATTATGCTATTTTTACAATGGCAAAAAATGGGTATCACAAATTAGTATCATACAGTGACCCCAATGCAAGACTGAAAAACTGAAGGAAAAGTATCAAAATCCCTGAATAGCATTCTCATCAGAGGCAATGTTTTTTCAACACACAGCCTTCTTCCGTATCCAACATGCACTGCCTTTTCTCTCACTCCATTTCACGGTGAACTATTAGTCTAAATATAAGGAGTGTAGCAACTTAAGAACTCCAGGCTTTAGATTCCTTATGAAGCGAAATCAAGTACCTCTAAAGCCCTTTCTAAAGCCAAATCACATGGTCTCCCTTACGATAATAGGTGGTGGTACATAGGCTAGTCTTACCTAATTACTAAAATGGGTGATTTTAACCTGAAAAATTAGGGAAGAGTAAGAGTACTATGCAAAAACAAAACAAAAACCATGCAAATATATCCACTCACCAGATGAACCTGACAGAGGATGCTCCCACTGGTCTTCCTTCCAAGCTTTTCTAGAGGTCGTCTTGCCAGAATACCTTTTGTCTGTGTCCAGGAGGGAGGCTGATGCCAGCTTTCTAATGCTACCCACAGCCAGGAAGTCAACTTCCTCATCTTGCCCTTCGTCAAACCTGTCAATCACTCTGGCAGCAGTGGCTGTGGGGGAGGGGGAAAGTAATCAGAATCTCCAGGTCAGAAGAAACTTGAGTGGTAACCCTGTCCAACCCTTTCAACTCATACCTGAATATCCTCAAGGAAATCCCCACCGACATCCAGGAACAGGGAACTCACTACCTCCCCAGGTAGATCTCTACCTTACTGCTGTTCCAGAACAGAAAGCTGACTCTGTATCTACTGCAGGATATATTTCTATGCCTTGGATCATATAAAACTAGTGCAATTCTCTGCCATGGATGACGGTCACTCAAATACTGTAAGTCAGCCATCATCATGTTCCGTCCTCACTCCATCATCCTATCCCTCAGGGTTTTTTTTTCACTTATCTGGCTAAACAGCTCCAGTTCCTCCAACTGATATTCCTAAGACACAGCCCAGCACTCACATTTATCCTTCACTATTCTCCCTTCCTCACACTTACTTGATTCACGTCTAAAGCAAGATTACTCCCAACTAGACCTTGAACCTGAGCTTACAGGAACCGAGCAAAGTGTCTTGGGGCCTAAAGAGGCTTCAACAGCACCATGGAAATCTACTTCTTACTTCATTCCCCCAGTAAGTTCTTAGGGACAGGCGGAGTTTAAAAACCGGATGAGTGTTCCTTCTCCTCATTTCTAACNTTACTTCATTCCCCCAGTAAGTTCTTAGGGACAGGCGGAGTTTAAAAACCGGATGAGTGTTCCTTCTCCTCATTTCTAACGCAATTCCCTTAAGTGCATCCTGACAGATAACTTCAGCCGCTACCAGACTCGGGCTCCCGGCACCAGCCCGAGCCCAACAGTTAACCAAGCCGCGGTCCGCGGGACGCTCCGCCCACCCGAGCACCAAGTCCCCGCAGCGTGTCAGAAGCTGAGGCCGTCCGCCCGAGCCCGGGGAAACCCCCCGGGAGGCAGTTTTCCAAGGATGCCGGCCCTCACACGCGGCCCGGGGCCGCACGTGGCCTCCCCCAGCCAGCCTCACCCTCCTCGGGGTCGGCCTCGGGATCCGCCTCCCGTGGTCGCGGGTTCAACAGCTGTTCCAGCTGCAGCGCCAGGGGCTGCGGCCCCGCCATCGTCACTAGGTCTCACTCCGCTCCGCTCGGCGCCGCGCACGTGAACGTGAACGTGAACGTGAACGTGCGGCCCCAGCCCGGGACGCTCTCTCCCCGCCGGGTCCTCCCGCCTGGAGACTGCTCCTCAGCCAAGCCAGGAACCGCGCGGAGCCTCGCGCTCAGCTCCCAGCTGGCAACTTCCGGGAGGAGCACGGAAGGGGGCGGGGCCTGACGTCACTGCTAGAACGCAGGCGGAAGCGCCCTGGAGGCTGAAGGGATCCTCGCGGACCGGCCGCCGGCCGCGCGTGCGCGTGCCCGTGCGCCGAGGGGTGCGTTGGGAGGCGCGGGCACGCGCAAG